TTTGCCCTCAGCTATTGATTTTTCTATTCATCTAGGCATGATTATCTCTTAACGAGCCCTTCGAAGCATCCCCCCTGAGATTCCACTTTGTTCACTGATGATGATTAGGAAATATGTGCTAAAAGCAGTGTGCACACATCTGGGGTTTGGTGCAGCAGCTGATTAATCCCTGTGCTTTCCCCTTGCAGTCAGGCATGTGCAGGGTCACAGGCAAAAGAAGAGACGCAGATTTATAGTTCAAGAGTATGATCCTGAAACAGGTGGATCTTCATCAGGTCCCACTGACTTCTGTGTCCATCAAATCACCCAATTCCTCATGGAGTCACAGCAAACATTTCAGGTGCTTGGGAGACTTTCCCACTTGCAACAGTCCCTTCCCTACTACAGCAGTGAAATTTTTGGCCAGAAGGGAGTTTGTAAACACATGATCCCAAATCTGGTGGGAACTGAACCTCAGAGATGACACAATCTTGGGCCTTGTTCCCTGCAGAATTGAGCTCAGCTTTATCTCCTCTTCAGTGTAATCTGAGCAGATGAACGCAGATGAAAGCACTTTGACCAAAACGTTTTCATTTCTGCTCCATCTCCTATGGGCTGCACAGGGGACAATAAGAGACATCTTAATTTCTGTTTAAATCATCATGAGGTATCACCTTTGCAGGTGTTGGTGCTAGGAAGATGCTGCTGCTTTCTTTTTACAGGCAAGAGGCTGCCTGTTTGTGGATTTATGGTTTTCCCCAGCTGCTCATTGTTTGTTAAGGGTCTGGAGTACGGGGCAAGGGGCTCAGATGGAGAAAGGGAATTTGTAGCCACACAGCTTTCATTCCCTGCTGCAGGTAAGTGGCACTCCACTGAATCCTGATCAGTATGAGTCATGTTATTCTGCACACACCCACTGAAACCACGTTCTGACTGTTTCCGTTCGGCATGTACCCTACAGCCAGCTCCCAGCTGCTGGAGTAACCGGTGAGGTATGGGGATATTTTTGAATGAACTGCTAAACCTGCACACTTCGTTTCAGATCACACCCAGGAAGATGGGTGCACATGGATAGGAATCCAGAGCATCCCTTCAAACTGAGCTGCTTTGGATCAGTTCCTTGGAGATGCAGTTAAATGAACGTGGCTGAGGAGCTCCCCACAGGCAAGGACAGCCCTAGAGCAACTGGTCACTTCATGACACTGCCTTCCTGTGTCCATTTTGTTTTCCTCCCACAGTCTGGCCATGGTAACAGAAACATATAGGATTTCTTTTTCCCTTCCTCTGCACCACTCCATTGTGCTTTCTGCTGCCATCTGGACAGTTTCACCTGCCACATCCTCTGCAGGGATAAAGGACACTGCTCACACACGTCATCTTCCCTCACCTGTAATACAGTGTATTTTGGGACCTTTGGTCTTTTGATATTCACTTTATGATTGTGCTGGTGTTTCCTGGACTATGGCAATTTGCAGATTGGATGTTCCTCCTATGCTGTATTTTTAAAACAGATCTCTGATATTCAAGGGGTGAACATCAATGTCCCTGTTCATTCCTTTCAGTCCTGCATTTCTTATCCACCCTACCCTGACTTTCAACAACAAGAGGATGCAGGAAGTCTCTCATAGCAAGGACAGTTTGGACAAGATGCCCATCTGACCCCTTGTAACCATTGCAGGTGCTCATAACAACAGATATGTCAGTGGTCCCCAAAGTGAAGCATGCTCCTTATCCTTCACCTACACAAGGAGCAACTTGTTGGCCAGGATTAGTTATGAAATGGGAGAAAAGTTGGGATAAGTAAAGAATAGGCTATGGGAGGAGATTCGGTCATCTAACACTGATGCTTGGGGGTTTGTGAGGAAAACCTGTGACACCATGTAGAAAGGCTTTTCTGGAGTAGTGACTCCCATGGGTAGTATGAGCAATGCACTTGTGTTGCTGGGTGGAAATGATCCTTGAACACTGCACCTTGCTGTGGGGGGAGCCCAGCTTGGCTTGATCAGACACAATCAGCTCTTTGCAGTCAGAGGTACCAGCCACGGTAGAGCAGATCAAGCTTCAAACCTTGTAGTCCAGGAGTAGCAGGCTGCAGTTACAAGACAGTAAGGGAAAGCAAAGATCGTCAGTGCTGCTTTTGAGCTAGATAAGGTAGTTGGGAAAGCATCTATGTTGACAGTAATTTAAAAATAGCACTGACATAGGGAGGGCTTCTCACAAGGACTGATATTTATTTGCATTCTGCGCTGTGGAATGCTGCAGAGTATATTTCTCTCCCACTTCTTTCCTAACCTCTAGTTACCCTCTCCAGTTACCCAGGGGCATATTAAGCCATTCAAAGCCTTACTAGGTCACCAGGCATATTTGGGTCCCATGTGCTCCAGAGAGGGTCCTCTTCTCTCTCAGTTTTGCTGTTTAGAGGGAGAGCGTATCTGGTCCGGAGGATGCACTGAGGGCATCCCTTAAACATCCATGTCAGTAAGTCTTCAGGGCTGTATCTTGATCATAGCTGAAATACAGCACAGGCTGAATGACTGGAAGTCATTCTCCCAGACACAGTCCTAAGATAAGGTCTTAATGACATGAGTTTAAATCCATCCCGCCTCTGTAACTAGTTGGGGAAGTGGAGGGATCAAAGGTGAAGCAGCATGGTATGGAAGTCGCAGCCTGGCCAAGAAAACAGCTTGTTTACTGGAAAGACAACAGACTGAACTTCTTCCCAGAACTGTGGGTCACTGCAAACTCACTGCTGCCTTGCTGCAGCTGACCAGCTGAATCTTTTCCCAAGTCACGCTGGCTGCAGTGAGGGCTTGGACACCCAGCATACATGCACACCTCTTCTGCAGGCAGTGAAATTTAGACAACATCACAGGCTGCAGCCCTCCCTGATGTATTCAGAAACTTGCAAAGGAGGATGCAAACGGTGTGCTTCTTGAGAAGATGCTACCCAGGGAACAAAGTGTAAGGCAAGGACAAGAGACCTCAGGGCTCTGTTCATAACACTGAGTCACTCCTGCTCTTCTGAGTGCTCCTACATGTGCTGAGCTTCCCTACACAAGCAAGTTCTCTGAAGTCCATAGGGAAAGCATAGCTGAGGGAAAAAGTAATTGCCAATGTACGTGAGGTGTATTTCAGTGCCAAGAAAAATCATTAGCAAAACAGCCTACCCAACTGTTAACTATTTTAAAGTCTAGACAGGCCCCAAGGCCAGATGATTTTATGGTTGGGTCCGCTCTCATGTCAAAAGGAAGGAGATGAACTTAAGTCGAGGAAGGCAGAAATGACTGTCGCCAAGGTCAAGGTGGCAACAAGCAAGTACAAACAGCAGCAAAGACAGTGGGAGTAGTGAGGAATGAATCATCAACTAATATAGTGAAATGGGGGGGAAAGGCAGAAGAAAGGTCTAAGAACGGCGAAACTCAAGAATGAAGGAAGAACGAGAGGTTCTCCAAATATGTAGAAGGACCCAAATTAATCCCCATCCCTGTACTTCTGATTGCAAGAAAAAACATGGTATACGTGGCTGCTGCTGTTGAGATGAGGTGTTGGTGGTTAGAACATGAGAAATTACTAGCACAGGGGAAATTCATTATCAAGGTAGATGCTTTTCAGTTCAAAACCATCTGAAAATGACCTGGGTCATGAGGAGGTTAGTCCTACATGTCTTGTCCCATGTTGGCTGTTGTATGGATGTGTTGGAATTAGGAAGCCAATTTAATAAATGTTGTCTCAAATAGGTGTAGCCTGGAAGAATAACCCTGGAGCCATAGCAAAGGGACATGGGCTCTTGCTCCTTCAGAAATTGCTTGTGGTGCTATGGAATCCTCCTCATTGCCATTTTGCATTTCAACCTTTGTGACAACTGGAGTACTGGCATTGCAGCATCCAGGGTCCTCCATAGCTTTTCTCTTGACAGAAAATGTCACCTTCTAGGAAACACTCTTTGGCAAAACCTTGATTCTCATGCTACTATAATTACTTTGCTGATTAATGCGTTCAAGGGTTTGTGGGTAGGTTTGAAATTAATTCCAAGAGTGCATATAAAAGCAGTGGGGAAATACAGAAGATGAAGGAAAAAAAAAAAAACCAATTATAAATACATACAGAAATCTTTTATCTTAAAATTTATCTTGCTGCCTGAAACAAATTGGCATGTTTCTGGCAGGCATCACTGTCAACACAACTTAGGAAAGAATACGCTGATCTTACAACAACTGCAGTTCACAGGTATAGGGAAGTAGATGGATTAAGCTCGTAGTTAGCCCAGTTAGTCTTGTAGTATAGGTAGGTAGGTAAAATGCCAGGGGACTGGCACTGTGTTTTGAAGGGTCCAACTATTTGGAGCAAAATGAATGTCTGGTTCATTCAAGGTGGGAGAAGGAGTGGGAAGGTTTGGAGGCTCCTGAAGGTGCTGAGGGGTTTTGGTGAGGGGGTCCCCTTGACATCCGTGAGGCCAGTTGTGTGTCCCTGCGGGCAAGGGGAGGTCACGCTCTCAGGGATGAGCAAGCCCTGACGTTTCGGCTCCGAAGCAATCCTCCAGCTGGCCGAAGGAAGCTCTGCGGTTGTTATGCAATTCTGCTTTTTCTCTGCAGACTTTTTGCTACTCTCAACTATTGGAAAGTGGGTGAGGTGGAGACTTGGGATCAGCTCCTAGGACAGTGCCTCTGGGTTTAAGGAGTCCTGGCTGACTCCAGCATTACAGACTCAGAGAGAGGGGCTTCTCCTGGGAAATGGATCCCTCACCAAGTTCATCCTTTTTTAAAGCAATTTGATATGTTGGAGTCTTTTACTCGCTTGGTCTCCTTCTGAAAGCTTCCGCATCGGCAGGAGGTAGGTAAGGCAAGCAGCAGTTGCCTCTGGAATTAATCGGGGTGCCCCGAGCCCAGGTGCTCTGCTTTTCTGTTTTACTCTGTCACAGCGTGTTGGGCTGAAAACATTTTATTTTTAAGGGATCTACTGCACTCTCTCTATCTACGGGAAACAGAATTAAACTGAGGAAAAAAAAAAAAGTGAAGAATTTGGCAAGGAGCCACACAGTGACTAAAGTAAGAAGTGGGGAAGTTGCAGTAAGTTTAGTTACCAGGACATTGCATGGCAGAGCAGGTCAGTCCTGGATCTTTAAGAGGCTCAGAGACAAGCACGGGATGCCCTTCCTACAGCGCAAAGGAGCTTGGCTTCCTTAGGTGAATGTCCCGGCGCTGCGACTACGAGTGAAGCTGTTGGTCTTGGGAGGGGATAAAGCTGCGTGTAAAAATGAGAAGAGAGGAGTGTACCAGAGTGCTATGGAAGGCAGCAACTCTGTTGCTGTGACTTTTCTAAGCCTTCAAGGGTAAGATTTAAACGCTTTCCTTCCACTTGTTTGTTTTCCCCGTCACTTTTCTGGGTGCAGAAAACTTGCCCTTTTTTTTTTTTGGAGGTTTTCTTTGTCAAGAGTTTTGCAAAGCTCAACCAAAGCGCTTGGGGTTGAGCTTTTTCTCCGGGCGATCCGGTCGGCTTCTGGGTGGAGTGAAACGAGCTGTGCATGATCCCAAGCAGCAGCAGCAGCAGCTCGGGGAGGCTGCTATTGTTTGCGTTGTTTCGGGGGGGGGGGGAGCAGAATGCAGAAACCGGCTCTGCCTCGGCGGCTCATCGGTAACTTGAGCGTCACAACTAACTTTTGCTGGATGCAAATGTTTGACTGCCGTTCTGGTGTCAGCTTAAAGAGCATTTTAATGAAGACAGATGGCGGATATTGGATCGTTGCTTTAAAACGTGGCAGATAACAGGCTGAAGTCTGTTTCCCAGCAATTACAGCTAATTGCATTGGCACATTGCAGTGCAGGGGTAGGAGCACACAGTTTCGTGGGTTTGTGTGCGTATAGCTTTGAATAGCACCAAAAAATAGCTGGAGGGCTTGCTCACCTCACCCAGGATACCTCTTCAGGTGTTCAAAGAGCTGGGGAGGTTTCAGGGTTACATTAAAATTCTTCACACTAGTAGATTTAAACCAGTCACTGCTCCCTGTAAACCCTGATGCCAAGAATGACCATTTATAGCCTCCTAAATTTACACCAGGTTGAATTATGGCAAATGTGATTTCAGCCCTGAAGGAGTGTTATTCTGGGATTAAAATCTCACATTTTTCTTGTCCATGCTGCAGCTTGCTGTGTTTCCCCACTTGTAGAGCTGTGTGTGAGTGGTGCAACACGTGGTATTCCCTGTTTTGCTCTTGAGGTATTCAAACAGGATGTTAAAAGGGCTGGAGAAATACAAATGCTAATGCGTTTCACAGTTAAAATATGATTAGTACTAATTATTTCTAATGGCTGAAATTTTGTGTTTGCTTTCAGTAAGGGAAAGCAAATACATTGTGCACTTTGGATTCAAAATTTGGACATTTTGAATGAAACGGTTAATACAGCAGAAGTTTAAAGGGGTCCCTTTGCAAACATGCCTTTGTGATACTGTCCTGGGTTCAGCTGTTAACAGTTGTTTTTCTGCTTCTTAGTAAACAGCATTACAAGGTCAGTCTATGCCAGGTGTGCTAGGACTTCACATATCTCTGGCCAGAGCATTAGCAAACATTGCTCCAAACTGTGATGTTCCTCTCTGCGGTACCTGTAGTAAATGCTTCTTTCTTTAGTGCCTCACCTGCACCCCCTCAGCAAGTGTGCAGTGAAGGCACGGAGAAAACAGGGGGTTGAGGACCTAGTGTATTTTAAACCATGGATGCTTTCCAGTTTTGCCTGCAAATCCATTTTAAAGCAACAGGTTTTCAAAACTTAGGAACTTAGATTTGTTTCAACGCATGGTATTTAACAGTATTACTCCACCAAGGGCACTCATCAGCACAGGCAGCCTTGCTGTCACAATGCCCAATGCTTGGGAACTACTTTATCGTATACTGAGTCTAGCACTTCAGCCTGTGACTGTTCAGTGTTTGTGATTGTCACATCGTCTAAACATAGATAAAAAAACAGCAAAAAAAAAAAATTTAACTTTGAATCTTGCTCATGTGCAAAACCAGACCTGACTGGGAGAGCTGGTGACTGGATGTAAGGTATGCATTTTGGCTTATTTACCTGGGCACGGCTATTTAAGCTTTTTAGGGTGCATGCATACCACACTATGTGTGGTGGCAAAAATGACTGGATAAATCTTGGTTTACTGCCTAATTCTTCTGGTCCTTTGGTGCTTCCTTCTAGTATTCAGCACAATTTCCTGACTCCTCAGATCTGCTTTTACCACTGCTTGGGCAGGAATTTTGGTCTGTACTGAGCTACACCCTATGATCCAGATTAAAATAACCCTTCCAAAAATGATTGTGTTCAACACAGATCATTTCACAGAGCCTGGGAACAAGGTGATGGGAGCAGAAGCATCAAGTATTTTCTGATTCATATTTATCATTGTATCTGATGTGCTGTGTAGCTTTGTCCAGAGAAGAGAGGCCAAGAAACTAGCCATGTTTTCCATCTGTAACATCTGCTCTCTGTTCGTCTGAGTTCTGCTATGTTTTGTCTCATTTTGACTCTCACCACTGTGGTGGTGGGAAGTGCTTCCTTCCATATCCAGTCTGCAGTGCAGCCCTTAGCAAGCCATGGTTTTGGATTAGGCTTTAGCCCTAGCAAATTCCATGTGCTGTAGCTCATTGCTACCTGCCTCTCATGCAGGAGAAGCTTTTTGCACTTGTGTTCTCAAGCCTAATCTGGCTCTTTGTCTCTCTTAAATAAGGCTGCATTTGGTTTACAAGAAAGCATCCCTTCCCTATTCAAGATCTGTCAAATTAGCTTCTTGCTGTGGATATTAAATTGCTTAGAACCCATGATTAAACTGTCAGTAGCCATAAAGGAAGTGGATTGTCTTTGCAGAAGTGTAAGCCATAGCTAGACAATCTGTAGATAGAAAAGCCTTCTATAGTGAGAAGGGATAATTTATTCTTAGCTTATACTCCAAATCCTCATAAATGAGGAACTGTGAATTTGAACTTTAAATAATTTTTGCTATAGGCTCTGAAAACATGGGGGAGTAATGTGTCCTGTAAAGCGGGACCTGTGTAATTATTCAAACAGAAATAAAAATAAAAAAAAAACAAAACAACCATAAAATAATTGAGTGGAAAATGGAACAACAAAAATGTTCAGAGGGACTGTCACAGACTGTGGAAGGCAACTTGAGGAGATGGAAGCAGTGCTTCACTTTGCCTCTGAAAATAGCTGGTGCCAGTGAAAATGAAGGCAAACAGGAAATTGTCTTTTTTTCTGACTATAGAAAGTTTTTGTGTGCTTGATGGGTTTTCAGGAACAAGAGGCTTTGAAGGCATCTTACCAAAATTTGAGAAGTACTTCATGACATGTGGAAATGAAACGTGAAAGAGGTCATTTTATTCCAGAAAGTGCAAAGGGAAATTAAAACCATAGCAATGTATGTGAGTGATATTGGGCTGAAGACCCTTTGTTATAATTTTGGGACTGAAACTAAATACTACGTTTAAAAAATAGAGAGATTCATAAAGAAATCTGATCCAGGACATTAATTTTGATTGCAAGTGGAATCTGGGGAACAAAAAAATACTCTGGTGGAGATTGATAGATACAGGTGCAAAGTTGTTTGATCCTGCAGGTAGGATGGAGAGTCCAGAATACCCCAAGGAAAAGACCTGGGACTGGAAGACAGGCAGAGCTGAGGCCAGCCAAGAGAGCACATCTGTCTGTAAAAATCGTGATAACCAGCAGAAATGAGAGCAGTACCTGACTCACCCCCAAAAGGGACAAGGCCACCATTTGTCTATGTTTGTTCTCATGTTTGTAGCTGATGGCCAATGAACTCCCGGACTGAAAACAGATGGAAGTGTAAAGGTAAAAACGAGGTGTGAGCAGGCAGGCCCACACAGGAGCTATAGCCACCATGAGAGTAGTTTGCTAGGTGAAGGGGTATGAGGATTAGGTGTGTGAGTCAATAACAAAGCAGCAAAGGAAGATATTTGCAATATTATGAAAATAAAGGGTACACCTCAGTGCAATAGGGGTGTGTCAAGTGCTTAATGCCACTGTGTGTGTGCCCATTGAATACTGACACATTCTCATATGACATTGTGGTTTGGGCAAGCTAAGAACTGAGATTTGCATAAAGTATCGTGCCAGCTTGGGAAGGATTCATAACTCCTAGGCTTTAACTAAGTAAGCGCTATGCTAAATCTGTGTGATGGTGTACTGGAGAGGTAACTGGTACAAATGGATGTGACAAATTTATGACCCATATCTGCCCTAAAAGACAAGGCTTTGTAGGAATAGTGAGCCTGTACATATTTGTGCTGGCCATGGTGGTAATTTAAATTTGCTGCTGAGTGAAGATGTTCAATGAATGCAATGTTAATCAAACCCCTTAAGAATCTGAAGGAATTAAAGATGCCCTCCATGCCCAAATAGCGTATTGTTGCAGTCTTGTTGTCATACTGCAGTCACACCAGAAACCAGTGATTAAAGAATCACAATAATTAGCAAAAGACGTGTCAGAACTGAAGGAAGTTTCAGGTTTTTGTTTACAAGATGAGGATCATAACTCTATTGTTTCTTTCATGTTGTCACTGCTGAAAGGCGGCTTACAACAACCCTCTCTTCCCTGTTCCCTCACAAATGTAAACATCCTTTTTTTCCCTCTGCTAAAATTATATGCCTTGTCACTTGAGTACACATCTGGGAGAGGTTTGGTAGCTGGAGATAGCTTTTCTAAAATGTTTGTAAAATACAGCAAGATCTGGAGTTTAGAAGGATTGCCGTGCAATGATCAGAACCAGCCAGCATTGTGCATCCTTGTGCTGCCAGGGATTATCAGATCTGTGGCTTCTGGTGCTCTAGGAAATGTGAGGTCTTTATCTCTGGGTACGTTGTCTCACCTCTTCCACCATCTGATGGGGAGCCTTCAGTCCTAGTGAAGAGACTTTTGTAAGACATAATAGTAATCCTAAAACATGGTAGAAATATGTTGAAAATTATAGGCTGAGGTCAGTTAGGGGTGGAAAGCAAGGTTGGTCAGCAGGGTTGAGAAAGCTTTAGGTTGTGACATTGAATATTGTAACTTAAGTGGTTTAGTTCCATGGGCAGAGGACATTTTGGGGAGAGATGTTGGCAAAGCATTTTTTCTGGTTAGCAGAAACAATTGGATCTACATGAGTGAATAGAATAAGGGTCTCCTTCAAACACAGGGCACAGAGGGGCTCCCAGACGTCACAATCAGTGGCAGGCAGCACTGCACTAGGCTCAGTGTGTAGAATTTAGCTGGCTGGCTGGAGCTTACCTGCTGCTGTTTGCCTTATCTCAGGCCCATTGAATTGCAGCAGCTAAATATAGCATTGTGTTAGCATCTGGAATAGAGATCTGTGCAGAAATGTTTGACCTGTGCAATGATTGTGGTGCTTTCCTTAAAGTTTAACTTCATTTTATGAAAAGACATGAAGCCCAAGCATCACCAGGCATGGTCTGGTGATGTTGTATAAGGTTTGTGTTTGGGCAGTGGCATAGCCTGTATTCGCATCTGTGTGTTTCCAAAATATGGTATGCTTGTTACAGTCGTCTCCTTAGACACCTCTGCTCTGCACAGATAGCATAGGATAAAGTGCAAAATCTTCATTCTGTCATCTAGAAAACTTGTTCCAGATAGATCACTATTCCCTCAAATGTCTCTGCTTGGCGCCACTGACCAGTTAAGTAACTGGTACAGAATTCTTGTTGATTCAGGCTCCCAGTCAGCCAGGCATTCCAGGCAGTGCCAGCTAGAACTGTGCCCGTGGATCTTCACAGGCTGTCAGCATGAGCATCTCCCTTACATCCTTTAAATAAACTTGGATGCTTGGAACTGAAAGTTCCATTACCGACAGGTTTTGATGTGATTTTGTTTAGTTCTCAATTCCTCTGCATATCAGGATATACTGAGTGCCTTAAATGCATTTCTGTGCCTGGGTTTAGGCTTCTGGGCCAGAATTTTGCAGCTGATAGGGAGAAATTTTACCGAGAGCCATACAGGTTAGTCCACCCCAAGCACAGAGAGTGACCAGCAGATGGACAACAGTGTGAGCCAGCACATGTTGAGCACAGGCAGATGTACAGGAAACCTGTGTTTCCTGCTGCTTCCTCCTCTTCAGGGAAGCTGATCTTGACCTGGGTAATCACACAGCTCCTTTGCACCTTAAGGACAAGCTCTATGCATGCATTGCTCCTTATCACATCAGACCAAGGTTATAAGAATGTCTTTTTCAGCCTCTTCTTCACAGACCCCTTCTTTGTGCCATGTCAGGAGATGAACAAAATGTCCCAGGTAAGGTAGCCCACACTGATGCAGTGCAGCTTGCAAACCCGAGATGGTTTTGCATTTTAAAACACTCTATGTGATAAACTGCAGCTGTTGGCCACTGTGCTTAGGATTTGGGTTTTCCCATTTTATGGGTGCAGAATTACATGTATGTGTGGCATCATGTCATGCTGTGGGATAGAAACCCCCGTCGTGAATTGCTGTCTCTTTTCTCTTGCAGAAATTCCATGGATTTGGACTGAAATAAAGTTTTGGGATGTCTCTGTTTGGATTAAAATTTGGAAAGAAGAAACTGAGAGGTGAGTGCAGTCTGGTAAAGCCATTGTTAACTGGTGACAAAGTAAGGAATGTAAATATAACACAAGTGTGAGCCCTTGAGGTTGTGTTTGGGACCATGTCTTACACCTGCAGAGCAGGCAAGCAAAGAAACACTTCATTTACTTTTCCTGCATTTCATACTACGTTGATGAGTGTGTGGACTGTGTGCTAGTGAACGGGGGCACATGCTGTGTCATGGCACATAACTGGCTTGGGGATGTTGTGCTTTGGTGTTTCTCCTATGAAGATCTTTTTCGAGAGTCATGGGTGAGCAGTGCATACTGCCCTCTCCCAAGCAGTTTATAAAATATGCTAGAAGCAAGTTAGTGTGAAGGTCCAATGCAGCCTTTTGATGATGAAAGGCATTGATGTACTCCACAAACTGCATCAAGTTCTGGGCCCCTCACTACAAGAGAGACATTGAGGTGCTGGAGCAGGTCCAGAGAAAGGAAAAAGAGCTGGTGGAGGGTCTGGAGCACAAGTGTGATGGGGACCGGCTGAGGGACCTGGGGGGTTTAGTGTGGAGAAGAGAAGGCTCAAGGGGGACCTTATCACTCTCTACAGCTGCCTGAAAGGGAATGGAGTGAGGTGGGGGTCAGTCTCTTCTCCCAAATAACAAGTTGTAGGACAAGAGAAAATGGCCTCAAGTTGCATAAGGGTGGGTTTAGATTGGATATTAGGAAAAAAAAGTCTTCACTGAACGGGTTGTGAAGCACTGGAACAGGTTGTCCAGGGAAGTGGTGGAGTCACCATCCCTGGAGGTATTTAAAAGACATGTAGATGTGGTGCTTAGGGACATGGTTTAGTGGTTTTCTTGTCAGTGCTCATAATTTCTCTGTGTGTGGTGCATATGACATCCAGATAAATGGGTGTGAAGGTAGGAGCAGTCATTCTCTGCAGCACAATCTCACTTTTCAGCAGAAATCCCTGAAAAGATGAACACCTGGAGGAAGTCCAGCAGGAGGGCTATCCTTGAAGTGGGCTAGCTTCCTACAGCCTCTTAGGGTGCATCTTCTTCAGACTTTGCAGCAGGAGCCACTGAACTGAGTCTCGTGTTCTATCACTTTGCCTCCAGGCCCTGGGTGTGATCTCTGGTCAGGGAACAGGTCTGCAGACACTGTGAAGAGAAAAAGTCTCTAAACTTTCCTTTCCAGGGTGTTTCTCGCTGTATTTGATGAACACAGAGATTAGTGCCCTACTCATATTTTGGCATGAAATTATTTTTTCCAAACCTCTTTGAGCTCAGCAGACTGAACAGATTTTTTCCTAAGGGTTTATTTTTGCAATTGTCCTGCTATTTCCCCTTCCTGGCACAGGGCAGACTGTGAACCCTGGTGTTAAGATGGGGCATCCGTTTACTGCTCTGATAGTCCCAGAAGAGGAGGTTGTCTTTGCTCCTGAGGAATGATCTCTGCCAGCACCAGGTCTTTTTCTCCATCTTGGTTTTGGAAATGAGGGAGCACAGGCTTGTCTGTGAGCCGCTGTCCACCCAGGGCATCTCCACTTGTAAAGGGGTAGCTGTTCTGATTATCAGAAAGATTATGTTGCTGTACTAGGAAAGTTTTGTGGTTTGCGTGTCCTTGGGTTTTAGCAGAGAAGTGTTCATCTCCCCTTTCAGCCAGCTGCCTAAGAAACTCAGATCTTCCTAGGTGTAAACCCCATAATTTATAGGGAAAAATAATTTATTTTCACATTTATGCACATATTTATCCCCAGTTCAAAACCGATGAATTCAAACTGGAGGAAGTTCAGAGAAGGATAAGGGAAGCTGGAGTGATCAGGGAATGATGTGCTTCCATAACAGGAAGCTAAAGGAGCATTTTTTCTTTCCCTTTTAATTCTTTTGCCTTGCAACCCAAAAGCTGCGATTGCTTCTTGCAAACATTTCACTGGAATAAGTGCCAGGTTTGAAGTGCTATTTTAGTCCAACAGCTTATAAGCCTTTGTTTTGGAGGAGTCTGTAGGACTGTGCTGCCTGAGAGCCGGGGAATATCCCATGCACTCATTGGAGAGACAGTACTGCTGATGGGAAGACCATATCTCTCTTCTAAAAACAAAGCTGAATGACAGTTAACCTTACAGAAGAGCCATGATCATGGTGTGACTTCCATGGGAGGGGATGGATTACCTCAAGCATCAGCTGTTGAAACTGAGATCAGAATTGCTCCCATGAGAACAGTGATATTTTTCTGTTTCTCCCTAGCAAAGCATGTCTGTTTTCACATGAGCTGGGATGCAGGCAAAATTGGTAGTTTTTCAGGATAGGTATGGTTTAACAAGGCAGGGTACATCCTCTGAATTTCTTGGAGATAAAGGGTTTATGCAGATGTTCTTTATACAAGTAACCAGGGATGTAAGTAAAACTCGGCTGTGTATATCATGTCAGAGCACAAACACTGTTAGAGGAAACCAGTTCCTAGATGATCAAACCTTATGAACCTATTCAAGCTGAAGTGGGGAAGCACAATTTTTAGGTAAGCAGCAGTAATATTTCTCTGTAAAAGATGCCCAAAATCCTTTACACTGAGGTTAACCTACAATGAACATTGACGAAATGGGAGAGGAATGGGGACACTTTCGGTTCATGGTGTGTGTGGAAAGAAATAAGGATCATGCCTTGGTGATGGCTGATAAATGTGGAATGTGTCTGATCACTGGCTTGATCCCAAAGCAACTTAACTCAGGAATGTAGCTTTGTACCTTGAGGATGGGAATGGCTGAGCACTATCCATGAACCAAACAGAAATAGGGAATGTGGAGAACTCATCTACACAAATAAACTTACCTAAAGGTGTGTGCTTCCAGTCAATGGCAAGAGCAGTCATTGCTTCAGCTTCACCTGCAAAAGCCCAGCCTAGGGGCACTGTAGAAGGAAGAGGACAGATATAAAGCCTGAGCCAGGGCTTTTGGAAAGCTCCACTGGGTTTTAGTTCTTGCTGCAAGGGACAGCCTGCTCTTCAGAGTAACTTGGTTTTGAACATCTCTGGGCAGAGCTTGGCAGGGGAGCAGCTCCCTACAGAGAAGACAGCCCAAGACTGGCTCTGCAGACATAAAGCCCGGCTGCCTTTTGGGACTCTCATTCAGATCTGATAGGAAATGTCAGAATCATAGAATATCACTAATGTTATCAAATAGGGAAAACAAATAAATTAATCTAGCAGCCATCAGCATAGGTTACAGCAAAGGTGATGCTGTACAAAAAAAAATTGCTAGAAAACAGTATGCACCATACTCTTTCTCCAAACCAGTAAATGTTACTGCATACAATGCAAATGTAAAACAGAGTAATTTCCTGCAGGTACAGAAATGAAACTTCTTTTCTCAATACTGTGGATAAACAATTATTTTTTCCTTGTAATAGTAATGTTTCTATCGACCTATTACAGAGTGGGCCAGGAGAACATTAATGAATTGAGGGGTGAAGCGTACTCAAGGTCTGATCAGAAATGGTTACTTCAGCCAAAATAGAGGAGAAAAAAAAGAAAAAAAAAGAGATAAAGATGGAACACGGAAGTACAAGACAAAAGCGAATGAGACTTCTCACAAATCTTAGCAACACTTAGATGGAAATCAAATCTAAATGTAGTCCACTCTGCTTTTGAAGAGGCTTTTGTTCAGCTCCCAGATCTCGATTGCTTGACGCAGCCTCCTATGAAAGAATACTCAGAAGATGTCTTAAACAACACACCTATTTTTAGTGGTGGAGCCACTCTTAGTAGCTGTGTCTGCATGGGACTGATAACCAATCACTATCTTTGGAGGAAGTCCTAATCTTCCTTTGTATACTCTCCCTATATGTGTAACAGCATCCCTGTTTTCACATTCAGTTGTCCATATTGCTATTTTATCACCCTTAGTTCTAACATTAACAACAGCACCACATGCATCATCACTGTAGCCACCAAATGACTCCCCAATAAGGCGCAGCAGTGTCTCTAGCCAGAAGCGATCGAGGTCACTTCGCCTCTGCTTTTTGCTCAGTGTAGTTAGCCATCGTCCTCCTTGCTTGTTCTTTTCATCTTCCAACATGGGTTCAATCCTGTCCTTAAAGAGTGAGCAGTCACAACCAGGCATTAAATTACTAGAGAGCTGGATACGGTTGTATAAAGCTCAAAAGTCTTCAACAGTATCAAACCTTGAGATAAGACGAAGATTTGCTTGCCAAGTTTTGCTGTTGTCACTTTTAAAAAACTAGAGTGCCCATCTGTTTTGTAGTGGATGCTTAATATACTGCTCAGGGCTGGCAACCTCCTGACTAGGTGCTGCTGGCTCAGTTTTCTCCTCTTCTGAAGGCTGAGGTTTGGAAGTGGTTTCTGGTTCCACCGCTGCCATTTACATCTGTCTGTGGAAATGTTTTACCACAACAGACATTGAGTATGAAAAATATATTTATTTTCACATAATTTCCCATGAGGGAAATAACTGTGAATAGAAAAACTTCTCAAAGTTAATTTCAGAACTGTATTTATTTGTATGATTTTTGCAGCACTTCCTATCGCTGTGTATTGCTGTTATTAACAACATGTGCAATTGTGTCAAGCTGTGGCTTGACATGCCTAGGAGATACTGTTTTCTAGTAAAGGAAATTATATGTGACAGCCAGTCACTGTCAGACTAGTTTTTAAAATAAAAACAAGTAACTATTTCAGCTGCTTTATTTGGCATGCTGATATTCATCAAAATATTGTGAACTACAATTACAAAAACCAGGATACAAAGTGATTCAAAATTCTAACCCAAATCTGAAAAATAAACAAACCCCTAAGCTTTCCAAAATGAATAAGAAACAATTTCTACAGCTAATATATTTGGAAAAAAAGCACACTTTCATTCTGAAGCTGAGTGAAAGCAAACATGAGAAGGTGTAGATGCTTCTTGAGAAATAATCTGTTGCAAGGCACTTCTGAGATGTGTTGAGTCCCCACCCCTTGCCCAAAGCCAAAGCAATTGGTGAGATGTCAATGGGAGGAGGTGAAGGAAA